ATAGTACAACCACTTGTACAGTTTATCAGTCTCTACTAAAGTTGAAATAAAACCCAGCAATTTCACTTTTAGGTACAGGCCAAAAAAAAAGAGAGATGGAGAGAAAACACTGCTAAATAAACTATGACTTGAGACAACAAAACTTTTAAACATGTTTTGTACCTTTACCGAGACTATTTCGGAACCATCAGCAAAGTATCATGCAAAGTATCTGAAGAGTGGTTTGAATGACTACAAATGTTTCTACTATTTTCTTGCCTATTAATATTGCTTCATTTACTATTCAAAGACTTAGTGAGCTATGAGGCCTCAGAGATCATGTCTATGCCATGATTTTACAGGTGGGAATAATGAAGCCCAAAGAGACTGACCTGCCTTAAAAGGCAGCAAGAGGCACAGAGGCCTGTTCTAGCTCACACAGCTCCCAAACCAGTAGTTTGTAGTTTCCCAGTTTCTTAAGGCGTACGGAGCAGTGATAATCACAGTATAAAATGTTACTTCAGAAGAGATTTGATCAGAGATTTAGCTTGGAGAAAACTGTCCCAGGTATTAATTTACATTTATTTTCTGAAGGTGAAAAATCTGTTCACTTTGTAAGTCTGCTCCAAAACATACTAATATTTATTAAAATGTTGCTTCTTAATATCTTATGAGCAAAACTTTTAATAGATGAATGACACAATAATTTTGCAAAGGTTCATGGATAAAAAAATCACAAACAAGGGTTTGAGTAGCCACTTGAAAGACCAAAAGCTACTAAAGGAACAGTGAATAAAATCAACTTTGGGGAATAAAAGAAAACCATTTGAGAAAGTTAAATTAGCCCTTGATTTGCTAATGAATTCTTTTTCAGAAAGGGAGCCATACTCTAGTGCTCAGGAGATCAAACAAAGGTGCACACTTAACTCATCTCTTTAAGGGAAATGATTGAAAAATCAGAGACATTTTTAGAAAGGAAGCACTGGGTGTACTCCTAGAGTCAAAACATAAGTAACAATATATTTATACTATGTTATAGTTTATATTATTATTTCATCACATGGATTCATTTGATCCTAATAATAAATCTGTGAGTTCTCAGAGCAAGTGATGGTCTTCTCTCCGTATAAAACGAGAAACTGATGCTCAGATACCATGTTAAATCACTCTGCCTAGAGTGATACCATTCATAACAGATCGAATACTTGAACCCAGAAATACTGGTTTTACCCCGTGTGTATCTCTAGCTATTACCTCAACCCTGGGTATATACTGGAACTCAAAATATGAATCTAATTGCCAGCATCTCTGGAAAATTTACTACTTTAGAAGTGATGAAGAATATGGTGCTTTAACTTTATAAACTATAAAACTGTTAACTCCAGAACCATTTTCTATATATCTTACCTTCACATCAAAGGAAGGCTTGAAGAGTTTGTCCTTGGACAGAAATTTTGATGGTGTATCCAGGTGTAATGAGGGCTCCTTCTGGACCAGCTGTCCTCCTGCTGGGGGGACTGAGACCTGCCCAGTGTGCTGGGCAATCACCGCGTGGAAAGCTTTACTCTGAAAGCAGTTCATATCTAAAGGTGTAACAGCTGTTTTCCTGTGAGTTTCCAGGCGGGAGGCAGGACGACTTGGGGTATCTGATTTCGGATTCACCCCATTTGTGATTTTAGTTTCCAAACTCTCCTCTAGAGATTTAAAAAGAAACAAATGTGAACCACTAATGTCTTTTGTCTCTAAAGAGGCACATAAGTGAGGTTTTTATCTTAATAGTTTTCATGTGAATTCTCAAGTACACTTTAAAGTATACCTACTTTCCAAGAAACAAACCAAATGATGTATTAAGAGGGGCTACTGTGTCCTCCCACCCCAGCCTCCTACCTTTTTTCAACATTTAACAAAAACAGTTATTAGAATGCTGCTCCACGCCAGGCCCAATGCTAGACAATGGAAATACATAATGCCCAAGACATGCATATTCCTTGCCTTTTCAGAGCTTATAGCTGAGTAGAGAGACATGGAAGTCGACTTATAAAGTTCAGAATTGTAATAGACTTATAAAACAGAATTTAGAATTAAAGCAGGCTTATAAAAGTTTAGAATTATAACCCGGGGATAAGGGCTATAAAAGGGATAATACAGGGTGTGATGGCGAGACCAAGGCCATACTTGGTGAGTCAAGCAAGGTTTTCCAGGGAAAGGGACATCCAAGCTGAGAACTGAAAGATAAGGCAGAACAGGCAAGCATGAGGGGGCTACAGAGAACATGCAAAAGTCCAAAGATGAGCGGAACAGAGAACACTAACTGCATGGTGTATCAGTGGGAGCCACAGAAGGAACAGTAAGAGCGATCTAAGCTCACATCTTTAGTTTCCAACGGAGACCCTGGGATGCTCCTATATGGTTTTGTATCCTCTAGCTTTTAGGTAGTGTCTACAGTTGATAGTACAGATACAAATGAACCATCAGTGCTATGAACACATTCATTTTACCACCCAATAATGAATGCCCAATGGTGGCTCACTGTATCCAACGTGAAAAGTAGAAATCAATGACCTTTCCTAAAAACAAGCTTTGATAGCCCAGAAACCATCAAATTGTAAAAACGTATGTGTGTGTGTGTGTATATATGTATATATATAAATAATAAAAGTATTAACCTTCTTTAGGTGAATTTTCAATCAGAAAATGGCTTTCATTTGCTCTCTTTCCCATTCTAGCAGTCTCCATCAGCCAAGCTATAGTGACTGCCGGTAAATTCCACTTCTTGGCAGCTTCATATTTAGAACCACCTGGTTCTTTCAATACAAGATGTGTACTGGCAAACATGCCTTTCTTTGCATTGGATTTGCGAACAAAGAATTCTTGAACGCTGAAAGTAATATTTAAAGAAAAGTAAATGGTCATAAACACAATTGGTCGGCAAACAAATAGTTTCTAATACAACAGTGCTGTCAGAGAGTTCTAAGAAAATACTCACTGACTAAAAGTTGGTTCTATGTCTTAAAATAAACTAATCTCCTTACAAATGCTTACTCTAGGATAAAAATGTATTGTCATAATTACACTTTTTATAAAAACATAGGCAAATTAATTAAACTAGACTTTCAAGAAATAACCAGAAAAATTTCCTCCTTAGTCATCATCCACCCACCTTGCCCTTTCCTCCCAAAAGGAGGCATGAACCACGAGGGGAGTAAAGAAGGTGTATGAATAATACATTATATCTTTTCAGCCCACTACAACTGCTCAAAGCATTTTCATATATAATCTCATTTGATCCTCTCAATATCTGTGAAATATCAATGTGTTACAAAATATTATAAAGATTCAACCTGGGAAAAGATATAAAAAGAGAAATAAATGTCTTGCTCAAGATCACAGAATATTAAACACAATGTAGGGGCACAAACAGAAGCCCACCACTTGATGTATAAACCACAATTCAGTTATTTTTATGACTTCTATTTAATATTCAAATTCCCCACTTTTAAGATTTCTTTAATATTCTACGTTTCTCCCAGTATTTTCATGTTTTTTTCCACATTTAACCCACTGATCCATTTGTTTCTTATTTTGGTATGAGATGTTACATCAACTTTATAGAATCCTATTTACTGAATAAACTGTCTTTTCTTCAATAACTGGAAATAACATTTATCATATACTAACTTCCCGTTGGTACTTGGGTCTACTTCTAGATTTTCTGTTCATTCATTGAACTTCCTGCTACTTTTAACCATATGATTATTTAGTGAGGTTTTACAAAATAAATTTAAATAACTGTATTTCAGAATTTTCATCATTTTCCTGCCTGTTAATCTTTTCTCATGAATTTAGGAATCAATTTGATTACTGCCCTCCCTAAAAAAAAAACTGTTATTTTTATTGGGATCATGTTAAATTTATACATTAACACAGGGGATAACAAACATCTTTATAATATTTCATCTTTTTCCAAGCCCATGTACATCTTTCCTACTGTTCAAGGCTTATTTTGTTCCCCTCAACAGCATTTTATAAGTGTCTGTAGCTCTTTCCCAAGTTTCATGGTACACTTACTGCTGGGTATTTTATGCCACTGCACACCTAGTAAGAGGCCTTTGTTTTCACTAGCTCTTCTAACTGGTTATATATATATGAAGGTCACTGATTTCGGCATATTAGTTTCTACATAGCCACTTTATTAAATTTTTCTGAGTACTGCTTTAGTTGTACCCCATGGAGTCTGTTGTCATGTTACTGTTATTTTCTGCAATTTCACCTTTTCAAAAATCTTTTTATTGTTTAGTATAATTCAAATACAGAACACAGCAAAAAAGGAAACTTACAATTTAATGAATTATAATAAGGTGAAAACCCTTACATCCATCACCCATGTCATGAGACAAAATCTTGCCAGCCAAAATCTAGGTGCATCTCTTGTTTAAACGACTTTTAAGTGTTGCTTCATAATCTAATCTAACTTTTAATATAAAAGTTTAATTCACTTACATTTACTGATGTAACAGTTTTCCACATCCTTTTAAAACAGCCACCACCTAATAACGTTCACTTAGAGTAAATTTGGATTTTGGAAGTAACTTTTAAATTCATTTTCTTTCTCCTAAAGTATTCATTATTCCTGTTTAACATTTGCATTTCTGGCTGAAAACCAGAGGAATAATAAAATGCATATTGAAAAAAGAAAAAATCAGCCATATGGCGCCCTGAAGGAAATAATGCTTAGGCAAGCAATATTCAATAATGGCTATGTATCAGCTTTAAATATTCCCTTTCCTGATAGGTAAGCATTAATGCCTACAATGTTTACATTTGCCAGACATCCATCTAATTGCACGTTCCCCTTTCCCACTTTGAGCCATCACATAGATATGGTACACATTACCCATAAATATTATAAAGACACCCAGCCAAATTCTAACTTAAATGCTCTCCAATAAGTCAAAACAAATAAAAGTCCACCAAGATGGCAGGTGTGCTAAAAATACTACATACCTTGCTCCAAGATGTTTTGCTAAGAATGTCAATGAATCTTTTTCTGCTCCCACACACTGGCTGAATGAAATAACACAATCCACTAAAGGAGTCATTCCTGCCATTACTGGGACTGGTGTGAAGAGAGGATTTGACTTCGGATCAATCAAAGTCTGATAGTCTATACAAGTTACCTTTTAAAAACAAGAGAAACCATAATAACATCAACCTGAAATAAGCAACCAGTGGTTAACACTGGTTCAGTTACAGTAGCAGTAATTTTAGTTTAGATGAAAAATTTTACTCTAATATAAACTTGTGTATGCTCATTCTCAATACATTTCAAATTATAAGGAAATATATACACCAATTCATTATGTTAAATATTAAATTCTAAAACATTAAGGATATTAAAATCAGTCAGACTGTCACTGATACTACTGAATATTATTTGACATTTAATTTCTTCCAATGTATTAGTTTATAATTTTTTCCTCTGAATTTTTGGAAAGTTAAAAACAATCAATGGTGAAACAACCAATGATAAGCCAACAAGATGGAATAATAACAAAAGTGTGTGTCATGCTTTGGCTGGGAGACAACAGGGAAGACTGAAATAGTAGGAAAAGACTTGTAGTTCCTTCCTAAGAAGGAATGTCGCTGCTTTGGCCCCTGGGAAACAATAACCTCAGGCAGGATTAGGACCAAGAAGCTTGAACGTTTTCCTACTTTAGAATTTCCTTTGCTAAAATCAAAATCCAGACACTGCCCACACCCGAACACCAATTTACCTAAATTGAACTGTGTCAGAGATCAACATTAACACTCCCAGCATCCAGATATCCTTCAATACTGAATTCCAACTGCTACAGTATTTTCTTACCAGCCACGTATTTGTAACAACTTCTCCCACAGTCGCTTCTACTTCACACCCCAGCAGAGGAACCACAGCATAATCAGCAACAATTCTGCTTTGAAGGGACACGATTTTTCCAGCACTTTCTCTTATGATACTGGCAATGTTAGATTCATTTTCATCACTAAAACCCAAAACAAGGAAACTCTTTTGGCTAAATAAACCTTCTTCAGTAATTGTGGAAGCATCAGGGAGGCAATGACTGGCAGAAGACTGGTTTTCTTCTTGCAGAGAAATATGAGTAGAATCATTAAAGGGCTCAACACGAGTAGTATCATTAGAGGTCCCAACTTCAGACTTCGCAGCTTCAACTGAAAAGAAAAGGAAATGTTTTCTAACACATACTTTAGCTTCTAGTTAAAGTTTATTTCTGAGCAAGGATGTTAAGGTAACATAGAGCCTGAGAATTGTAGCCACACCTACAAAACTAAGATTTTAATAAACATACAATGAATAAAGGATACGAACCCACCCCATCTTCTGAGTGTTATCAGTATTGCCATCTTTATTAGGAAGCACAAAGGCATCATGTTACTGTTTTAAGTATTCCCATTGGACTAGAAACTCCAACTAGCTGAAACTTATGAAGCTCCAATAACTCCACATGCCTCTTATTTCCAACTGATTTAGATAATTCACAATTACAAAAATATCATTAAGGAAAAAACAGAAGTAAAGCCCTTTCCATGGAAATAACTGTGTGGATACAGTAAGAGAATAATGGCTGCTTCTCTTTCAAAAATTCCTAAAAATGTTTCATACTGAAGTTGGAGCTATTGTACTTAGCTTCTATATAGATTTCTTAAGAAAGCCGATTAGGGGGCCGGCCGAGTGGTG